TGTACTCAATGGATGTTGACTCCCTATTCACATACGTATGTCTACACGAGACGGTTGACAATTTGCGTGATTTCATCACGAGTCAAAACATGTCTGTTAGCCTAGTCCTGGAGTATTTGAGGGATATGCACGGACAATATATGCTTCGAGTTTGAGGGGACTGCTTATAAACAGATGGACGGCGTCGCCATGGGTAGCCCTATGGGACAAGTATTAGCAAACGTCTTTCTCAGCTTGATAGAAAAACAAGTTTCTGCCAGCATTGGTGAAGCCAAGTTTTACAAGCAGTATGTGGATGACATCTTAGTGTTCACAAGCATCGAACGCGGGTTTTGACAGTTCTGAATTCAATTCATCCAAATCTCTCGATGTCCCGTGGGTTGGAACAACACGATACTCATTAAGAAACGGACCGGTGGTACACTACGGCGCACGGTTCATCGCAAGGCAACTTGGAGCGGGCAGCGTCTCCACTTTTCCAGCTTTGTCCCGGTTGCATACAAACGTGGGTTAGTGAAAAACGCTCTGGCTCTACAGAGCCAGACGGATACGCAGCCCTGAAACGTTGTAAGCTGAAGAAGAATTTTTATACAGAACTCTGGTGTCAAATGGGTATCCTGAGAAGTTCATTGAGATCCACAACAGCCGTCCCAAGGAGAAAATACCGGTGTTAACAGCAGAGAAAAAGAATGTTTAGTTGTTCTTGTCGTTCAAATGAGACCACGTATCAAATGATATCGGATATAAACTCCGGTCTGCACCGCTCCGCACCTACGCGGCCGCCCAGTTGCGACTCATACATGCAACGCGAAGCCTTGTTCGTCATAATCGTCAGAGCAACTTATCAGTCAGTTTGGCCTCTCACGTCGTTTACCAGTTCACCTGCGATCGCGATAGCATTTACATAAGCAGGACTGACCGTCAGTTAGCTCAGAGGGTTGTTGAATATGTGCCGAGGTGTTTGGAACAACTGATGACGAAACAAAACGGAGTGGATCCGAGGATGGACCGGAGCCCAGCATCATCTATCACCAAGCATCTCTGGGCGATTCGACATCAGGTGAACCCGGATACTGCGTTTGAGGTGTTCATACGCAACAACAATCCGATAATTTCGGCAATTACTGAGGCTTTGCTAATTAGGGCTTATCAACTTGTGTTGTGTGCGCAGAAACTATTGAGACAATCAATTAGGTTACTGTGGTCTTGATTTGGACATTTTGAGTGATGTGCCAATTTTCTTCTGCATATAAATGTCTATGAATTCCGCTTGTATTGTGTTTGTGACTGATTAGAACAGCCAAATCTGTCTAAGGCCAACTGTCAAGGAACCGACGAAAGTGGTCGCCTTGGTGAGGTGGTTGCCATGGATAGGTTCATGCATAAGGAAATTACTCATAGGAGAAAACGTTGGGGATGTTTTTGGCTGGTCCTCATAGACATGTGGTCGCCATAGCAGGTTAGACGGTATAAAGAAGATGGGAAGGCCAAATCCACGGGGTTTTTAGTGCAGGCAAAACTTTCCGAGTCACTTTGCATATTCCGTGCTGCCAAACGGGTAGCCAACCCCCGCCAAATACCCCAGAGCATCAAAATGAAGAAAAACAAAATCTGGCAGTGCACCGTTTTCGATTCTCCAGCACACCAGCATTCACGTCACCGATCGAAGTGTAGAAACCCGAGTGGCAGAAACAGGTCTTCAGCGAACTAGTTCCTCAAGGTAGCTGAAGTTGGACCACGTACGACTCCGTTCATCTGCGCGCCGTTGACTTTCACCACGGTTGTCCACTCTAATGCTGCCTGGTGTGCTTTTGTGCGTAGCATTCGTCACACGCTACTTTTGGGCCTTTTATGTTGCCCTTCTGTCTGTGGTGTCTGGGCTTTCATCTTGGCCGTTATTCTGGTTCATAGTTGACCGATTCCAGTACTAGTAATCCGTTTCAACCACACTGCTTGCTCCTTGTGCTGGAGTACTTGTAAGCACCGATCACTCGTCCTACGGAAGACACTATAAGTACTCGCTAGACTGCGTGTACAGAATGATAGTGCGAAATGTTCAGTCTATGCGGCTGAAACTGGACCTCTTTAGTCACATCTATGGTCATCTTTAACTACGGTTAATCCTTTACGTCGGTAGGCAGCAACATGCGCACTAAAATGACCAATCTGTCACAGCAAATCATCACCTAACACTTACTGAGTAGCATCGTGTTAGGCAACTTTAATGCCTAGTCGCTCACCATCTACCGAAGATAATCCTGTATTGTTTACTGAATGTGTAACAGTGTGAAGCTTGGGAGGAAGGATCAGTGAGTTGACAGACAGAAATCTAGTCTCAAACCATTAGGTTGGGTGCCGTTGGTTCTTCTCGCACCCTTTTCTGGGGTCCACGCTATCCACGCTATCTTACCTGCGACTTTTTACATGACACGCCTCACAGCTGGTACCAGTGGAACGTTTACTATCGCCCCATGTCCTTAATGTCTGTCTGAAGTGGGCGTGGCTCTGAGTCAACTACAACGGGATATTGATCACGATGCCGAGTGAGGATATCCACAACAAAGCTGCATTGTTGACCTTGTCTTATCTTCGCACGATAGCCACCTGGTTGTGCCAATGTGTATTGCTCATATGTGCGCGCCTTTATCATGAATATTAGCTTGAGACATTTAAATCTCATACCAGGTCCCCATTCTCTTCACGTGTCATTATTCCTCATTGATAGGGTTTTTATGACTGTTTGGCAGTGCTGATGTGCCCCTGTTGATAATGCGCAGCACTACGCTTTACGCAGGGCCATAACTCCATGATACTACTTGGTTTCCTCCAAGACCCGCATGGAGTGGCTAAATTAGATACGCGTATGTGTTTTGCACATGAAAAGGACTGGTACCAAAATATCGTGGGACTGTGCGGTAATTGCTCTTCGTTTTTATTCGTTCTCACGAGCAAAGCCCCAAGGATCCGGTAAGTGATCTGCTTCTTAGAAAGGTCGCTGAAAAACTATCTACCGAAAAGTGCACTGATCGTTTATATCTCCAACTTCACTCTGTTCACCGCAAGTAATATCGGATCAAAAGTGCACAGTGAGTTTAATCGAACACGATCGTTTTGGAGCAGCACGTAGTTGCTTTACTTCTTCAGACAAAAAACAAATGCTTCGGTAACATCAAAATAAACTTGAACTTTTGGAGTAATGACAAGGTGAGATGGCACGTGTAAACGAAAGTAGACTTGACAAAGTCGCTGGGAGTGGTGAAACTTCGTGTGTTTCATAAAGAGCTGCAAACGATTGAAACCAGGTGACGTCATAGAGGCCCCTTAGCTCCAGGACTAAATCGTCCATTATATGTAATAGGTATAATAGCAGCTGTTTATACAAGAGACATACTGCCATCGAAATCCCTGGAATGTATGTACACAAGAAGTACAAAAACCACAAAGTCCAAGTAGCATTTGGTGTACTCGCTGTGTGGTTGGATTGCGACTCGCAATCTCTATTCTGACCTCGGTCCACTTTGAAGTAGACGTTGGTCATTACGATCACAAGGACCGTAACCGAATTGGTGGTTCGGTGTTGCTCCTCCCAACCCTGACACCCCATAACCGGTTTCGTCCTCCTTTGAACTCAGCAGATGGAGATAGCCTGAGCTGGGGTGGACCTCTTTACCGCTGTGCCAAGCGTTGCTCGCGGACCTAGGAGCCATAGCGGTCAAGGTGTCAACCTTTGAACACTACGCCTCGAGGTCCACCCCAGCTCAGGCTATCTTCATCTGCTGAGTCCAAAGGAGGACGAAACCGGTTATGGGGTGTCAGAGTTGGGAGGAGCAACACTGAACCACCAAACCACAAAGTCGTCCATTCCATATCCTCAAAGTCAAACGACAACGATACAATGAGCTGGCTAATAGAACGGTAATGGAGCTCTCATTGCAGAGGATGAAATTCCGTCCCGTTGTCGACAGACAACGTGCAAATGATAAGTGATTTTAGAAGACAGGTTATTAGTGAGCTATGGTAACTACGGTCTGGTCATTTCCTTAGTGTGGGGCTGCAAGCACTGAGGTAATGCATGAACGTGAGGCTAGCCATTGTCCTTGGCACAGTTCGTAACTGGCATGACAGGGGAAGATGAGCCGAGCTATATCATAGTTAACTGTCAATCACGCAGGTTCGCGACCCTCACCCATGGCGAGGTGACCCTAGCTGCTGGCACCCTGAAATCATGGGGGAAGAACCCGACAGGGGTCCGCTGGGAGGCGCACCACTGATGAGACCCTGGGGGTCAAAACGCCGGCGTCTGATGCTTTTCCAGCCTAGCCTAAGCCTGTTGCTTGGTAGTGACAATGATGATTTAACTGAAATATGATTTCCCCCACCTTGGAAGTGCTGTTTGCCGGCAATTAATTGCCAACATGTCTTTCTTTTGGCCGTGAAGCCTACCGACGTCTCCCTAATGCTGCTTTTAAAACAGACGACTCTTTTAGTGGCACCGAGGATGTGCGTATCTCCTTCACGTCATTAGTAGGGGAGCTACGTTGAAAGGGTGGATCGGAAGTCAGTGCGCTGGTTCAACTGGCTGGTTTTCTATCCTTAAGATGAGCAACCACTGTGGGTAGCTTAAAGTTAGTACTAGTCTTCGAGCTCTATGCAACCCACCAGTGCCTCGATCTGTGCAAGTGTGAGCGATAAGCTCAGCCTGATGAGTAGACTGAACTTCCGACAAATGCATGGTTCATTTACCCTACGTGTTGACACGCCAATGACTGCTTCATAATGAAACACCACATCATATACAAAGTGTAAAGTGTAGGAAGGTCAGTGGGGCTAAAGCTATGGTGAAGGGAGCTGAATGGTCGATAAGCAGGAGCGACGACTCATAGTCACACCAATTGAATCTTAATATTTGGATATTACAAGGTGACTACATTTCCTCGGTCATCGCTGTCTGGGTGCGCAGGTAAATGAAATCCAACAAAGGACCGAGATATTTGGCTTACCGTGTCTCTATAGGGCAGTAACTCAAAGCGCATCAGACGCCACTCATCCTTCATCTTAGCCATGGTGGTTTCCAGCTGATGCTCTTTGGCAGCTGCAGCACCGACCTCTTCCAACTGATCCAAATGTGATTTCAGTCCGTACTCCAAGAAATTGATCAGTTGTGTATCTGGTTGAGGCTTGATGTCGAAACCAACGATGTCGCTCATCTGGTCCCAATGGCGTGACTGAATACCCGGATTGCACACCACGTGGATAACGGGTAAGAACTGTTGAAACTTCAACAATTTGGTCTGGAAAACAAATGAAAACAAAATATGGTTTGTCCTATAGCTGCAGGTGACCGCGCACATATGAAGCCAATAGAACAAGCATACCGCAGTCGACGGAATTCGTGTTTATGATATTAGACGGAATGTACAAGTTTCGAGGAGATCGATCCACGTAAGTAAGTGAATAGTCAATCCCTGGGTGGGAAAACACAGTTGACTACCTAGTTAATGGTTTGCGCTTAATCCCTTCTCGTTTGCATTGGGACCGAGAAATAGTAGATGCAGAAGCAGCTCTGACTAAGTTGCCACTGCGAGTGACAAATTGTTCATCATCCCTTTTCGAATGACATCGTACGGGTTACCCACAAGTACAGGGGACAACGGAATATTCGTCTAAATCAAATCTGTGTAGATAAAGTTGGTGCCGCCTGATCAACTGTGTACAGTTTGCAGTACCAACGCTAGTGAAGCTAGTATAACGTCTGACTGTAACAGAACCCACTCCGAACGAGAAGCAAGAACACCATCGCGCTGGATGAGCTGTAGTGACAAACTGACAAAGCTGAGCAACCAGAATACACAAAGATCAATAGAACAATCAGCTAACTATGTGAAACGGCATTGTCACGAAGGGTAAGCCGTCTAACTGCGAAGGACTGACATGTGTGAATCTGTCTAACCCAATCACGTGACAGGGCACGCCACAAATGTCAACCATCTGTGAACCACTACCGTGAGCCTAACAGAAGCCTGATAAAATCGGCCCCATACACGTTGATCCACATCTCTGCCACATGCTGATACTATTAAACACCAAAGATTGCAAGCAGGGTCACCCATAATATACATGGCAATCAAATGACGGCTTCAAAATAGGCCATTTTGCAAAATTGCGTTGACCTCTTCGTTAATTGTGATTCTGAAGATCCTTACTTCATGGCATGCGCCAGACCAGCATTTTGACTATGTGACATTTCAAGTAGTTATTGCCCTAAAGTATTATGCGAGATCCATGTGGGCGATACCGATGACTGACAGTACCGGATTACCATAAATGCACAACGCTGTTCGAATTCATTGTGTATCCAGCCAGGTGAAAAGAGCCAACAGCAGATGGAGTCTCAGAGGATTGTTACAACTTACCTTAAAGAGACGTATTCGGAACAAACAATTTGACTTGATATTCACGTAGAGAAATTACGGCGCAAATGCTCATTGAAAAATTTCACAATCTCATCCGGACAGATACAGTAAAGAAGGTTCCGTAAATACAGAGCATAAGTTAGACTTGGGTGCATTATCAGATGGGATTGGTGGTGATGCATAAGAGCTCCAGAGTGCAGGATAAGTGAGACTAAGTGTTAGCCAGTATCATAGTCGTTTGGCGACAAGGGAATTTATTACTCTAGTCGATATCACGAGTTCACCAATGAATAATGAAGAGGCTAATTGTGACCCAACGGGCAATCACAAGTATGTGGAAAGGAGCAAGGGAAAAAGAATTTTAGTCTCAAGAGTGAGAATGTGTCCCATTGACGGCACGCTCACCTTCATCTTTTGTGCCACTTTAGCCGGACCGGGGAGTTCAGCCAACGTCTTGGTAAGCTTGTGCATCGTCTTGTACATATCGGATACCTGTTGTTCCACTTCGTATGGATTGATGGTGTGATACGGGGCCTGGAGCCAATTCTTGTTACATGTGTCGAACTCTAGCGCAGTACGCCACAGTTTATCGAATGGCTCCATTTGCCTGCGCAATTCCACCAATTGTGGGAACTGTGTTATCTCCCATTGGACCAGACCTTCTTCCCTGAACGCGTGAAAAGTCAGGATAAGGCAACTGTGGTTTAGAGCTTACGAATTCGGAGAAAAAAGGGATCGAACATCAAGTGCCAGTATCACATACCATGCCACTACTTTTGAGTAGGGGCCGTAACCGCTGGACTTTTGACTTCATCACGGAGTACGAATGAAAAAAAACAGATACCAAATTCCGCAAATAATACTTCTAACGAGAATAACCCATTCGGACTACGGAGTAAAAATTCTTACCTTTACCCTTGGCAATGATGTTGGTTCGAGGAGAGTAAACGACGGGTGTTTTAACCAAGGTGAAGTGGGCTTGGAAGCAATTTGGCTCATGTTAGGTGAACTTGGTGTAGACAGGGTGCAAACGACGGCTGACGAGTGCATTGGTTACATTTTCTTCTAATGATCATATCGAAACTTTCACAGTGAAATCTGGCAAAATCCCCATAGACAACGATCCCACCTTTTTATATGGGATACCTATCCACGCTATGCAGCTGTACGTGTCTCGGCCATATCTCTTTCGTAGTATCTCGATCGAGTTTCACATATCACGGTGATAACCTTCAAAAGCGTCCCATGAGCACTACCGCACTGTCCACTAAGAACAGAAGAAGCATCGGATGTGACAAAACAGATTAATTAGGAGAAAGTATGTATCCCACGCTAGGTAACACACCAATCAGATCCATGGTTCCTATGACCTTGTTTGTCTCCAGTTCAGAGTCAAATATCCGGTTAGTTCGTTGGACCAGCAATAGCAGTGAATAGGTTTTGTTGTTTCGGACACCTACCACGAATTCTGTTCAAGTGCCTACTGGTAAAGCTCTTGTTTTGATTACCCATTGATGTGAATGTCTTGGGGCCTGATAAGGTTAATCGTTGAGAGGCTATTGTTCCCACTTCGCTATTCGAGTTCACGAGTCACTCACAGTGTTTGGCTCGGCGTCTTCCTGTAAGAGGTTAGTAGCAGGTATCAGCGACATGTTTTCCTTCGCCTCCTATCTTGACTACTTGTTTGAGGTGAGTACTAGATTAAGCTGCCTATGGGTTAAAGTTGATTATGATACGCTGCAGTGAAAACTTTAAACGACTCATCCCACCGATGCTGCTGCCCTTCTTTCACACAATGATCAGCCCTTTGTGAACGTACGCCGCTGGCAACTTGGTTGTGAATGACTTTTACTGTGTTCAGATTCGACGTAAAGAACCTGCCCATTCTTCTCATTCCACAGTGCTGGATTTGTTTACCTAAAAAATGACCATAACGAAGCGAGGTATCACCACAAAGTAACGGTGTGACGTTGCTGCTTTGGTGCTACTGGCTTGAACCCAAGTGACTGGTGTGGTAAGCGCCTTATCCGGGGCTCACGTTTGGTCTGAACCCTCTGAGTTTACGTTTAGTCGTATAGGCTAATGTTGCAGCTGCGCTCACAGGGAGATGACTGCTCCTTAAAACGCTTGAAGGCCAGTCAAGAAGTTTTATCGAGGACTATTGATTTTACTCGCTGTCGGTATTACAATGAAAGCCCAGTCGTTTGTTTAACCAAAAGCTTCATGTGCTTTCGCGTCGCAGTCCAATACACGACGAGGATTGCTTGTAAGCAACTTTTGTGACTAACGTTTCTCAGCGGGACTTGATAAGAAAAACACAACAATAACAACGGTACATTAGCCATTTAAACCGATGCTTCGCTGCCACACAACCATGGTAACCTAAGAAATAAAGAAAATCAGAGGGATAAAGGCATCTATTAGCGATCACCAGCGTGATTGTGCTATGAAAGTTCAAAAAGTTATGAAATGGTCGTTAAGCCCATTGTGGAGAGCCAGAAACACCAGAAATGCCCAACGTCACAAAAAACCTAGGTGACGAAGTTGATCGAGATCAACTTCGCACACCCGGCTCAGATTAAGGAGGACTCCAAACGCATCAGTGCTCAACCTGGTACTGGTACAAACGTTGCCCACGGAGCACTGTACTGACTCTTAACTGCCCACATGATGTCTGGATTTCGGATCACCACTGGGATTATCCACAACCAAACAAAGACGAAGTGGCAGGGAGTGTAGTGGAGAGTGTGGCAAGTGCGAGTGAACAGAAAATTTTGCAGATGAAATGGGAGAATCAATAGAGGGTGAACTTACAAGAACCGGTCATTTAAGGCATTAGGTAAAGCTACCTGACTATGCGGCTCTTCTGACTGATCGACGCCGCAGTGAGCTCCTCATGATTTACTCAATCGAATGAGAGAAGAAACCTCATCGGCCCATAACGCGGTTAGTCATGAAAGCGGATCAGGAAGGTGCTGTCATTTTCAGTGATTTACTCCAGCTGAACACACCACCTGTCACTGGGGGATAGGTTTTTTCCACAGCATGTACGACCAAGCCTCGAACACGTCTACATCGGGTAAGGTGACAGTGTTCAGGGTTCAGTACAAAGTCCTCAGTCAAGATTGCATGTTGCGATGTAAACAAGTAACAACTCAATCCCATTAAGCATACCCCGCGTCGAGCGCAGTTGCCTTTGATTTACCAAAGGTCATGGACTCAGAAATGTGTGTGTAGGAAAAATTAATCATTTCTATGCTAACCTTAGGAACAGTTTGTAACCTATCTACACGACTGAGTCTCCAGCACTAGTAATACGAATGTGGTCATCTAAAGTGGCCATAGTTAATGCAGCCCAGTAGCTGGGTTATTGGAACAACGAAGTACCAGATGTGTGGTTCGCTTGGCAGTGTAATTGCCATCAGGAAATGGATGACTCCTCTAGGAGTTCATAAGACAAAACATAAACATCGAAAACTAAACGCACTGTACCTTGCAGTGTTTGCTTCAACAGAAGAACCAGTCAAATCGAATGTTACAACACAATCCACGTTACGGATCTTACTTGTTGATTTGTTCTGACTCCGTTGTGAGCGCTTCCAGTTCGACAGCGAATTCGTCCAAAATCTGCACTGATCTTACCATCTCCTCCAAGGAAGTCATTTCTCGTTTACGCATTACTGTGATGCGATCCCAACAGTTGAGAATGCGTTGTTCCAATGAAGTCGTGCGTTGTTTCAACTCATCCTCTGCATTCTCTCGCAACATACCCACGCGTGTCGAGGTCACATCAAGCACACTGAGAATATTCTCGGGCCAGTAGAAGAGTGTGGAATTCAGCTTGATATCGTCAGCTGCCAGTTGAAGAAATGGCAAACATGGCAGGGTAGCAATGACTTGTGGGTAAATTGTAAGCCTATTTGTGGCTTCTAGAGCATTTCGTATGGATTCATCTTCAACAATTTCCACAAAAACTAACAATAAGAGGATTGAACTAAATGATGCCAACATGATCAGTGTTCTTTTGAATTGCCTACCCAAACTATCCAAACGATGTATACGATCGGATTCGAAGTAGAACTCAGACGTTCCCAGGATTCTGGAAGCGTAATACTTTAGCGTACATAATTGAGAGAACAAACTTACCCATAGTGAATCATCGTTGCAGCTTATTATTATAATCACGCTTAGATGAAACGCAGTTCTCGCACCGTGTGTATCAACGTGCTGAGAGTTTAAATAAGTCATATTGCAAACGAAAGGGCACTCGTATCATTGCGCTTCCTGAACCTCAAGTCAGCGTCAGGCACCTGATTTCAGGGTACTCGTAAACTCCCTTCCGCTTTCATGGCAGATCCGGTACCCTACGAAATTTCGACGACACACAACTGCCTGCCGAGCAAAATGTTAACTATTGTGCATCTGAACTCACATCTTTAAATCCCCTGCTAACAAATAACTCAACTCACCTGAGAGAAAAGCGTAGTCCAACAAAAAGTTCAATCTTTCTGCTGCGTCGGCGACTTCATCTTTCAATTTGAATACCAAAGTATTTGAAACGTCTCGCATGTATGCCTGCAGTTGAACAAGACACTCTGTATCTGGTGGCGTTTCACTCAAGCGATTCATTATCTCGTCATACCGGCGGCAAATACTGTGGGATTCGGATGGATCGAAACGCATTTGGGTTAGGAGTAAAAGCGGACTTTGTGGAGAGATGTGAAGTGTGAAGAAAATTCGAAACAAACAAAAATCTGAGTTCGAATGCCATGTGCAAACCACCCGATTCCAGACTAGTAGGAAGTGTTGGAGTCAATTAACCCGTCTCTATACCTCTATGCAAAGAAGCTCAATCGTGGGTGTCACACGGTTGGAGAAACGGCACACAGAAATGTAGTTACTTCAGCTAACGTAGCTTAGGTTGGGCAGTTCCAACGGGAGCACAGGCTGCTCTCTGGTCATCATCGGTGTTCCCACTCGGGAAGATGGGTCCAAGGATTTGGCCAAATTGTTTCAGGCTGGGTGCGCACTTGCGTACACCAGGTGTTTTCGCTATTTCTCGGCCGCATTCTGCTACACACCACTGGATGTATAGTTATTCGTCTCGAATTAAAAAGCATCACCTTGTGATATTATTTTCTCGAGGACCCTATCAGTACTTCATACATTTACATAGAACTGTTACTTACCGGCAGGATGTCACCCACACCTATTCGAAAATAGCTATGTACTTCCACACAACAGAGACAATTTTAGTTTCACTTCATAGAGCAGTCCAGTGGCGTTCGGAAGAGCTCTCACCCGTTCCAGTTCATCACTATGGGAGCGTCTACGGAGTAATGTATGCTTTCCTTGCAACGAATCCTTATCAACCCTTAGGCAAGTCTGCTTTGCTGACTAGCACTTTGACCGTGGTAGATCAATAGGCCAATCCACAACGCAAGGTCACCAGCACGGACACAGCCGCACTCGACCGACAAACATCACGGTCACAACAACGACGGGGACAGTGTAAACTTGTTTCAACTTGACGATTGATCGCTGACCTTACCTCCATCCAACCCCAGCCTGCGTTTACAACCACGCCTTACAATTATTTGATCTACATAGGAGTAGTAAGGGAAGTTGAATGGTATAGGTAGAAATTTCGTCACATATAGACTCACTCACACAGCCGCTACACGCCCGGAAAAGCACTGTACGAGCGTTTCATCCTTTCGGGAATCATCAGCAGTGCGCATTCCATCGGACCCCTGGTAGGGCACGAACCCGCAACTCGACTGTTGCCAGTCCGTGGTTGAGACCACTGAGCTACGGGGGACGGCAACGACCATCGTGAATAAGTTACTAGATGTGATATAGCGCCACTCACTATCCACTGAGTTACACGTTACTGTCGTGCAGAGGACAAGGTAGCCACCCCCACCCCCCCGGGGGCGTGTGACGTCTGTCTGAGTGGGTCAAGGTGTGACGAATTTTTTCCTAAACCATTCAACTCCCCATACTACTCCTATGTAATCAGCACGCAGGCCAAACTGCTTATACTGCCATAAGTTAACTGGCGGCTTAAGTTTGGTAAGCTCGTCGCTTGATGAAGGGGTTACCCTGTCCTCTACACGACAGTAACGTGTAACTCAGTGGATAGTGAGTGGCGCTATATCACATCTAGTCACTTATTCACCACGGTCGTTGCCGTTCCCCCGTAGCTCAGTGGTCTCAACCACGGACTGGCAACAGTCGAGTTGCGGTTCCGAGCCCTACCAAGGGTCCGATGGAACGCGCACTGCTGAAAAGCGCGTACAGTGCTTTTTCGGGTGTGTGAGGGCTGTCTGAGTGAGTCTAGATGTGAGAAATCTCTACCTAATTATTTGATCGTTAGATGTGATCAACCAAATCGACCAGTCAGTACACAGAATTAGAATAGTCAGTTGCTATCGCATTTCTACTAAGTAGATCAACGTAGGCTACTTTGAGTGCTCAGTTCTATATTGTGTACAATTGTCGACGATCTAACTCGATTTGCAACCACTTCTAACGATTAGGAGTAGCCCTGAAATGCCTACTTGCTCTACTAAAGTACAAGTGCATAGTTAGGAAGAAGAACAAGCAGGAATCACTGGCAGTCTGCAGCGACAGTGCCACCAAAAGGAGAAATGCCTCAGCTAAATTGAGGCAAAAGCAACTAGCACCACCTGTCTGCTTTGATAATGGAGTTGAGTTATTAGCGGATATCCAAAACCGCATCATTGCTCCTGAGGAAGAAGTTACATCACTAGAAACCAAACTGTTGCGCTTTGGCTCAAAATACGAGCAAGTTTTGGCTTTCTGCGAATTATTTAAATGTTTAAATGATGTTAAGTTAGACACATTACACTTGGCTGGCTCTGTTCCATCCTTAGTCACAATTGAGACACAGGAACGTTTGCGCAGAGCAAAGAACATGATTGTGTTTAACGCATATGACCGACTGAGCATAGATAAAGCCAAAAATACTTTGCTCGCCGCATGCAATACGAGTAGCTCCAACTGTCAATGCATCAAACTCTAGAAGAATGCAACAATGAGGTCATGCCCCATACTGGTTAAATTCCCGGATGAAACAATAGATGCAGGTTATACATAGCAAACGGCTCATTACAACACGAGCTGATTTTAAAAAGATTTTGATCAGAAGTGATCAAAAACCCCTACAAAGGCGTTTTCACCTTAGACAAATCATTCAGGCGCTCGTATTTCTCGCATTGACATCAAGTATACTGGCAACCATGTAGACCTTGACAGGTCACCAACACCGCTTCTAACTAAAGATACTCACAAGCACCTAATCCATCAACCTACCCATGAGGTGTTATTGCGCAATAATGCTGACCGGGTCTGGCCAGAAGATACTGGGCTCGTGCAGGATGAAAGCGCTTTCAAAAATGTCGCAGAAGTTCGTACCATATCCTGTGCCTTTTCTGAAAGCAACGACCCCGTATATTATGTGGCACCAACTAGGAACCAAAATGCAAAGTGTGAAACTAATATTATTGGATATTTACCCCTTATTAAGTATCACATCAACTATCCGATGTCCCAACTAAGCATACATAATAAGGCAGAGTGCCGTATCACTATAAAATTTAATGGAAATGCCCCATAACGGATGACACCTAAACCTCCTATATTAGAATATAAGAACCACTCATTAAATCAGACGAGGAAATCTGCACGCTGTCTCACCTCAAGATATGAGGTTGGAACCGATGCTGGGGTCAATAATAACCATTCGATCTACTACCAATGATCACAAAAGTTTTTGCTACCTACCTCTTCGAACCGGAGACGGTAACCTTCCAACTCGGATAACGCGGTAACTCATGGCAGTCCCGAAGATACGTATGGAGGAATACGCCCTCATACCTCCACTACCTCCCAATGGCAGGCACAGTTTCTAGCTAAGCATCCACCACCATTTCCTCCTACAGAATATTCTCACCACTTGACAAGGGATCCCTTTTTAGGCCGACATCCGTCCCCACTAATAGAGCCTCCACATAAGAGTATACAAAACCCAGTGATGATCCAATTGTTCCAGCATTTTCTCCGCTGGAGCCAGGACATCGTGACGCACGACAGAACCCATTTATTTCATCATGGCGCACCACCCATATCCATGATGATAGAGGATATGCTATAACGAAATGTCTGTATTCGATCAGATTCCTATCACTTAAATCCGCTATTATAAATACTCATTCGCTATTACCAAAACTGGATATCCTTACAACGTTTATGTTCCTTAAAACTCCTCTCTCTGCTTACATCACTAAAGCACTGTGCACAATAGATGTATATGATGTTCAGTTGAATGTCCTAAGTTATTAGTAGTTTCGGTAAGATCGTCTGCACAAACGCGACTGTGAGGGTGCCATCTACATAGGGAATGGCATAACAGCAAACTCAGCTGACCAGTTAGCTTTCAATGAATTGAATGATTCACTAAGGTTGACTATTCCGGACTATGATCTGCTACTGGGTTGTATTTATAGACCTGTTGATGCCATTCTCCATGAATATCTGTAGTTAATGTCCGTCAATAACGCTACTTCCAGCACTCCACACAAGTACAAATTCCTAGGTTGAGATTTCAAGCTGCCATATATAAATTGGATGTCGCACTGGCCTACGACAAATGTGGAATTTGCGGAAAGTATACAGTGTGTCTGTATCAATGGTTGGACTCAACACGTTAAACAACCTACTAGGTTAGATAACAAACTGGATTCAACCAAGGGTATTCCATCTGTTTGGGTATTAATGGAAGACCCAGTAATAGGACGTGACCACAATACGTTTCTCTGTAGCCTGGATGTCAGGCTAGCAATACAGAAGAGAGAAATAAGGAAGCTAGTTCTCGTGAATACAAGTTATTGATTGGAACACAATTGACAAGCTGCTTGGGAGCATGCATCGGGACCGACTCTTCTCCACATCGGACACAGACATAGCCGCAGACGTATTCGCGAAAATTATCCTCACATGTACGGACATCCTAGCACGCACAAGGAAGGTAAACACAGACCCCTTTGACGATCGATGCAAAAGCTCATCCAAGATCACTACCGAGATCACTGCACTGCAAAATCAAAGACATCGCTACATTAATTCAAATGCATAAACCCTTACTAAAACTTGAACACCAAACTCAACAGTCCAGGATTGCCGAAGAAACCCGAGCTATCACGAATACAGAGAAAGCTCATGTTCTGATACAGTTACTCAAAAAGAGAAATCCGGAAAGGCCCCACAAACTTCCAAGCCTAGTTTTAAAAGACGGTACGGCAACAGACGATATAGTTCAAAGATATTATTCCATGAATCCCTACTTTGCCGCCTCCGTTACCACAGCATCAGCTGTATTCCCTTCTCTTCTTTCAAGAAAAACGCGGGGTATTATGTACCACACCTCTTCATCTAAAGGACGTACGGATGACTATAGCATCCATCAAACCGACTTTCCAACCGGGACCTGATGGTATTCCCCTTGCGGCTAAAAGGCTAAGTGGCACAAACGTGTCTTCTGACGTTGAATATTTTACACTGTCACTAAACACTAGTTGCTTACCACCTCGGTGGAAAGATTCCACAATTTTACCGAAACACAAAGGCGGT